AAAAAAAAAAAAAAAAAAAAAAACATATCAAGCCCGACCAGCTGCCTTGGAAAGTCTCGATAAACCATAAAACTTAGCATAAACACGGGGAAGAAACAGACATTTTGTTCACAGTCATACCCCATGAAATGAACTATGCTCTTCTGACCCCTCCCTCTTGATGCCATGTGGCCTGCGAACCCCGCCTCCTAATTGTCACCCCCGCGAGCTAATTAACGTCATTCCAGGACAGGTGACAATGACAGATCACTGGTTGAAGTGACACAAAGTCACCCGTCGCTCTGTTGACACTGCTGTGAAATTTGGGCTGTTATAATGAGAGTTTAGTAGACACCGTTATTGTTATCCTGTATGTAATTACTGTTATTGACATCAATTTGGTGTAAAAATTCATGCAGCATGAAATTTAAGACCTAGGGCCCTTTTCTGGACAAATAATCAATTTTTTTTTTAAATATGAGTTATTTAGTGCTAAATTTGGACACATAAAATGTTTACTGACTAAAATGTAAAATATTGTAATTTGTCTCCTCAATTTATAACAAAAACATAAAATTTATCTTAAGTTGTATGGTGATTGAATCTGAAATCTTTTCCACAAGTGTGTTCCAAAACTGAAAATTTACAAAAACATTTTGCTTTCTTTTAAAGACTGCTACCACGTAATCATCAAATCATTTACTGTTCTCACATTACCTTTTAATGCCACTAAGCCTATCTGCCAAGGACTGCTTGAACAGTAATCAAATCAGTGTATCAAAATACACCAGTCAGTTCCAAGTCACATTTGGCATTCCCACCAGAACTCAAACTCTCCAGATGTAAGCCCATACAGTTAATGTCTACCGTTTTGAATTAAAACGATGCCCTCGGACTTTTATTCTTGTTCCTTTTCCATTTATTTTCAGATTTGAAAATACTTCTAGAGCAAATTTCCTGGTTGTCTGGTAAAGTAATGCACAAGGAGCTTACTGGGTTCCCATCACTGCCAAGGTCCCATTATCAATCACCTATCAATCCTGTCCAACACAAAAGTGGCTATCTTCTTTCCAATTTTCCCCACCTTCCAATCCATTCATTCATTCTGTGGGGAGTGTTTACATCCAACAATGTTATCTTCCGTAGAAAATCTTCACAGAGGTGCGGACATCTTAACTTCTTGTTGGTAAATTCTCCTGAAACCTAGTGAGGTCTGTTGTTGCTTGGAATTATGCCTTATCCTCCTATCTCTATCAATATCAAGAGGTGGGTAATCATTCTGGTAAATAAAATATGGGCAGAGGCTTCTCATGAGTCTTCCCCTAGGTGCTGCCATCTGTTGAGATGAATTCATTGAGGCTAAAATCTTGCCCTGTTTGTGAAATACTGCACAATTGCAACATGCTGTTTTGTCTATTTTTGCTTTCTTTCTTCCCCCTTTTAAGATATTGTTGATTATGCTTTTCTTTTCTTTTTTTTTTTTTTTTCAGTGTAAATGTTTCTGAAGAGTCCACCTTGGTATCTTTGAATCTCAATTCTGGGTTCCTTTCTGTAAGACTGCAAAGCAGCAACTTTGCCATAAAAATGTTGCAATAAAATTGTTCACCTATGATTGCCCAAGTTCAAAACATAACAGGCAGTCCTTCATCTCTGATGAAAATTACCCATGGGAAAAAAGGTATCATCTTCTGTTTGTATATATATGCTTTACAAAACTTATGATATAATTGCTTTCATTCTCTTTTTCCTTAGTCTTTTTTTTTTTCATGGGTGTTCACCTGTTGAATCTAACCTCAACTTATAAGTCTAACACAAGCTGTGTATTTTGTCTGTAGATATAAAAATTTATGAATATAAAAGGTCACTTACCTCTCTTCTCCTCGCCAGCAACTGTGAAACATGACCCGGGTTCAGGTGATTACTCAATTCATCTTAATCTGGCTCACTAAATGCACTAAATGCACAACCCGTCTCACTCAGGCAAGCACAACACAATCTGTCTCACCCAGTTAGGCACAACCACAGTCATTGTGCTCCAGTCACAGCTAACACAATTTAAAATCACTGTAGGGGCATTTTACACACATACATTCAGGTATACTTCCTCTTTTTTTTTTTTCTAATATTTATTATCGAGACAGACAAACTGATGTGCAATCTTGCACATATAAAAAGGTGCCTTTGAACAATCTGACATAACAAACATAAGCTTTAGCATTCAATAACAAGTAGAGCAAGTGAACAGCAAAGCAAAAGTAAAACAGAGAAGGACATGCATTTTTGATATATAAAAAAAAAAATACACAATCATGAATGCTGAATATAAACAAAATCAGCTCCTTTTCTCTCTCCCACACATATACACACATGCGCGTGCACACACACATCCTACCTCGTCGTGAGCTGATAACGGAGTCTGTCTCTGTACATGTGTCACATGGCTCGTTGTCTTGGCTGTGGACTGATGAGGCGTTAGCACTGAAATATACACAAAAAGAGTCTAAGACCCATACAGATTACATCAAAATAAGACAGGGGGATAAACAAGAGGTCTATGGTAATTTCATGGACTCATCTTCAGAATCTATTCAATGCTTGGAGAAAGCAGAAAGATTATTATGATATATCAAAATAAATAAAGGCTAGCAATTATCTGTGCTGGTTATCTGAAAGGATAACATGATGTTAATCATCAATGTTTGATTAAACATTCTGTTTCTTTTTCCGACTTCAATGAACAAGTAAACTGATAGCCAAAGTAATATAACTTGCCAAATAAGTTTTTAAAACATCATCGAATCTTACTCTTTCTTTTTATCTTCTTTAAGAATAAGTGGCAATATGAAACCAAATGTTAAGCCTTCCAATGAACTTTATTTTTCTACATATGAATATTTTTCATTTAATTTTCATTCATTGTCAAAATGAAATATTCATAGTTCTTTTATCACATGTATGTAATATATATTGTCAGTGAACCTGATATTTTCATTTTAAAATCAGTTTTTGCAAGCATTCAGATTCTTATATTATGAATCACCCCAGGTATACATTCAATCACTCTCAGCACGAGTCCAATCAATAGCCATACCACCTTCCCACTGCCCTGTAGTATATTTACACTGTGTCTACATAGTCTTTGACAGGTGAGAGAATGAGCCAGGTAAGACAAATACACACGCCTCCAGGTGACAACCAAGACAGTATTTGTGCTACGTGATGGAGGCACTGTGAGTCCGTTTCTCACCAAGCGGTGTTTTGTTGTTCCAAGTATGTCACTTCACTTCTGTCTATATGTACTTCTAAATTATAACCTGCTGCTGTAAATCTCACAAAACCTCTGACATCATGATTCCTTATGAATGATTTTGATATGAGACATGATTTTGGGTTGTTGAAGATACAGAAAAAATGGCTCACTCACAGACTCACAGTCAGTGGCTTTATGATGGGGGAGGGGGGCTGCTTTAAAACTGCCAGAAAAAAAAATTAGTTTTGTGATTTAAATCGGGGGAAAAAATCATGTCTGTAACATTCTAGTGAGATATCTTGCTGGTGAATTAGTATATTGTTTTTGTTTGTTTTTTTTCAAAGCTAAGATTTTTTAGCTTTTGGGCCATATCCTGGTTTGTAAATTATCGTCTATGTCGTACACACATGCATACATGTGTGTGTTCTTCTCACATAATAAGCACAGGTGGGCCAGTTCTTGCAGATTGGATACATGAGAATGATCTGTTTATATCAAAGTTGTCACACTGTTGCTACTTGACCTCTCATCCCTATGTGTCTGTTCATCTTCAACAATCCACTTGCACGTGCATGTTTATATTTTTGCACATGCCCCTTGTTTACGACAATAATCTAATTTTGCATTTCCAGAGGTATGTGTTTCAGTTTTTTATACATTCTTAAAATACTCAAGCTTATGTAAAAGGCTTATGTAAAAGCTTATGTAAAAGGCTTTATTCTTTACATAACTCTATTATTCAAAACATGATCTATCCAAATTTTTTACATACATACAATGTTGTTAAGGAAACCTGTACGTATCCACTGAGACTTACACCTGTTTAACAACCCAAAATACCTGGACTGGTTACTTAAAAGAATTATGTTGAAGTGCACTTAACATACTTGTCTTCATGAAGTTTCCAACAGAAATTGAGAATACTTCAAAAATAAGCAAAACTACTCAATTAACACAATCACACACTGGGTTTGGGCGCCAGCAATAAAGTACATGGATTATTGAAGATACTTATTAGGGTGTATCTATAGTAAAGCTATGACCACTTAACAAACTATCTCAGCACAGAAGGTGGGTCAGTAACAAAGGCTAAGGAATAGAAAGACAACAGAGAAAAAAGACTGAGATTGGCGAACCATGTTAATGTTTTCATGTTTACTCCTTGAGTATACATTTGCCATAATGTTACTAAGAAAAATATCTCTAACTAAGAAAAATATCTCTTACTTTTATCAAAACGCCCCCCCCCCCCCACCTCAACAGATCTACCTCATCTTTTTTTTTCTTTTCTTTAAATGCTTCAGTGTCTCATCTTTTTTTTTTTCTTTTCTTTTAATTCTTCAGTGTAAGTTAATTTGGCCACAAAACACCTATTTTGACCTTCCAGTCATCCCCAAAACAAGTCTAACCATCTTCTAACCCCTCAGCCAAATGAATTCCCTGTTAACACAGTAGCAGCATAAACAGCAGCAAGTGTAAACATCAACCAGCATCCATTTGACTCTGAAAGCTAAGGCTCATTTGCACACGCAAGACAAATCAGGTGGGAATCAGAGTGAGCATCATTTACACACACACAACTGACACAAGACAAATCCAGTGGGAATCAGAGTGGCACAAACTGGGGCCTTTACACCAGGCGCATAATGTGTAACTGTTGCTACAGTCAAAATATCTGGCAAGTTGTTGATTGCATGACGTCATGCTGTGGTATACTTGCTATGTCCATGTAATTATGTTCAACAAAAATTAAGGTAAAATTTAGAATGAAAGAATAAAATAAATAAGTTTTTTTTCTTAAGTTTATAATTTTTAATATCCTGATCCCTGTTATAACTTCAAAATACAGTTCACAATTTCTTTGCATGCAAATAAATAAATATGTGGGAGCTGAAATAAACACAGCATTAAAGCACTCTGATTGCAGACTACCTGCATCTGCAATGTACTGAGTGAATGTCACTTTCAGGCGAAGCCCGAAGCCCGTCCAGCAAGGAGCAAGCACTCAGCAAGCCAATCTCTCTCCTGTAGTCAGGCATGGTTCACAACTTTCAAATACCAATTACTCTCAGCGTATCTTTCTTCACAATTTTGTTTCCTTTTAAAGCAGCATTTCCACCTTAAACCCAACTATTCTAAGTATTCAACAATCAATTTCTTCAAGTATTATGAAGAAAACCTTATTCAAGTGAAATGATTTCACAGAATGCAAATTTTTTGAAGAATAACCTTACACTTTCTACTGTTCCTGGGGCACTAGCAGTAACTGGAGAAAAGGCTGGGGTCAAAACCAAGACCCTCTTGGCAAAAATATGTTAGATTTCCTAAGGGGTGGGTGGCAGGGTGGCTAGTTGGATGGGTTGGAGGGGGGCGGGTACAAATACATAGCCTCCTACTCAAATAACTAACCCACTGATTTATTTAGCTGGATGATGGATATATCATCTTCTTTAAGCCAATAATGATGATTTATATGGTTTATAATACCCTCAATATGGCCTGAGCTTCACAAAATAGCAACAAGATTTTGGATAACAAGTTGACATTGGTGAGTCTTGAGATAATGGACCACACTAGACAAAGACGAAGATGACTTCAAAGCTGTGAACAGTGCACTGGGTTGCAAAGTGCACGTTGTTTTATAAGCCAATTAAATCCATAAATCTTGAAATGATCAAACAAGATTTGTAGTTCTATCCATACTGTGTTATTTCTTCTTTTTTTTTTCTTTAGTCTATGGCCTGAATGCATCAAAACACTTACTGAAAAGATGGCGGGCGACTGTCTCCAATTCCTCCCACTCTCTCTCCTGGAAGGTTGGGGGGTGGGGTGGGATCCCCCTGCTGTGAATCACACTGGGACTGTGTATCTGAGGCACTACTTTCTGCTGCTACCAGCTGGAAAATACAAATATAAAGACATCAGTTTTACTGTTTATTAACTATTATTTCCACAATTTGGATTAGTTCATCTTTCAGGTTGGTCTGTTCATTTTTGTTATTATGATTGCTGTTACTGTTATTATAAATATTATCATAAATATTATATTATCACTATTATTATCATAATCCTTATTTTTTTTCCAGAAAATGAAATCCAACTTTGAAATCCATCTGACGCACAGTTCAAATATTTTATTTGAAAATAATCAATTACGTTTACAATGAGTCCACTGGAAGTATCAAAATTCATATTTTACCAATCATTGCATAACAAAGGTATTATCCATTTTATTTTCTCTTCCTGTACCATTTTTCACGAAAAAAAAAAAAAAAAAGGTGATTGGTATTTCCTCGTCTGCCATATGTTGTATGGCAAAGTCAATTAAGTCAGATGGATGGTGAATACAATTACTTTGAAGTCTGTTCACGCTTCCTTATTCCAGAAGAAGCCGCAGGACAGATGGTTCTGCCCAGGAGACTGCGGCCGCTCTCTCTCTCACTCTCTCTCTCTCTCTCTCTCTCTCACACACACACACACACACACACATACACACACCTCCCCTGCCTCTCTCTCTCTCTCTCTCTCTCTCTCTCTCTCTCTCTCTTTTCTTATATCTAAACAATGGCAATGTACAGGAAAGTCTCATTTCATTACTGTTCCCATCATTTCTTTTTTTTTTTTTCCAGCAGTGCTCTACATCCCATAACCACAAAATTGAAATGTACCAGTAATGGCATTCCAACCACATCACATCAACACACAACACAGCAATTGCTTTTTTTTTCCATTAATTTTGTTTTCCAGTAAATTGAAGGCTGACAACAAAAACAGATACCCGGAAATTTCTCAGAAAACTGCCACTAAACACACGCACAACCATTTGATTCGTTTTAACTACATCAAACAACCACGAGTTACCAAGATCCAATTACCCACAATCTACACCATGGATTTAAAAGCTTTCACTAGAACATCATCATTAGCACTTAATCTAGCTCCCTCTTTTTGACATTATGTAAAAACATTTTGTAATTTTACCAAATAACATTGTTTTTAACAAATGGGAAAAATAAATGAACATCAATAGAAAAACTATCACTTTATTTGGCACAACAAATCACTTTCAGCATTTGGCCATTAGTATTCATGTATGCTCTTATATAACTGTGTGATCTTAGATCCTCATTACAATCAGGTCTTCCTCATCACCAGTTTATTAATTACAATTTAAACTGTCCGTATGGCTGTTTCTCCCTTTATCTGCCACACTCATTAAATGGTCATTATTTTAAATTACAAAATATTACACAACTGTAAGTTGGCAATGTGTTATAAGGCTCAATGATGCATAGCAAGAGCACCTCACAGAATGCTGCAGCATCTTTCTGAGTGAAAAAGAAACTCTCTCTGGCCATTTTGGGTTATGGGTCAGTTAGACAGCAGCTCAACTTGTTTGTGAACAGAGCTTTAGATAAGAATTGGTTGACTGGATGGGCCACATAAATCCCTAATGGATTTTTCAATTGTAAATAGCTCGTTCCAATTGAAACTATCAGTCTATGCAGATCGATCCAACTCAACTGGGACTCGCTGAAAGCAATCAGTTTAACTGATTAACAGACCTCCTCCTGGCGTTGAGTGAAATACAGAAAAGCTGGTGAATTATTAGGTTGCACTCAGCTTAAAGACACAAGAACAGGTTTTTGTCTTGTCATAATGAAATGGAACTATTAAAAGACGTGCATTCTACAAGTGTCCAATATAAATGTTCCATTTTCGGGTAAAAACCACAAAAAGTCCAGTCTTCATAATGGGTTTTTCCTTTCCAATTACCTTCTCAGCTGGGCAGAAACAGATATTTCCTTTTAACATTTTCCTTCACCCAGCTTCTATGCTGCGTGTTTGTAAACAACGACTCATCTATTGACGAAATTAATGAGGTTGATTTTTAGGCGAAATGAACACATGGAATATATTTCCTGTTGATGTAGCAGTGTCATTACTCTGTGTCATGAAATCAATACATGATAAATGTCTCTATGTTTTCTTAAGGTGCTTTAATTTCTTAGTAATTAGTAGTAAAAATTACAAAAATAATTCCATAATTTTATTTGTTAAACATAATAATTAATGAACTGAGTTTGAAGAAACAATTTGTAATACTGCTTGGGTTTTTTTCAGACATCTAAGAAATGAAGTCTATGCACCCCTTTCTCTCTCCTTCATTACCCCCCCCCCTCTCCCCAGACCCCTGGCACTGCCCCTTTAAAATCAAATTGAGAACCCCAAACCAGAAGCTGCTGGCCATGACCCAGGACAGTAACATCCAGTGAAGAGATTCTACTACCACTGTAGAACACCTAACATGTGGAGTTAGCCCTCCTGTTTAACTAGCCCTGTCAGATGTGTTTACCTTCCTCCAAAAGGCACGGAGATAACTACAGCCTAGGTTATAAACAACCCTTCTCACTTGCCTGCAAGTTTTAGCAGATGTTCTGTTGGGGATTTTTTTTTTTTCAGGCGAATTGGTCTTTCCTTGAATATTGTAAGGAAGAGGCTGAACATTTGTCCATTTGTCCATTATATAGGTGGAATATGTATTTTCTCAAGACAGTCTGATTTTTCCGAAATGATAAGAAATGTTGGCAAAGCACTTCGAGGTATTTTTTTCTTTGTAGAACAACATTTATCTTTTGAAATATTTTCATGCAAAACATTAGTTCTAAGGAGAAGAGCCAACATCCTCAATGCTGAAAATAAAGTTTCGTTCCCAATCAGGCTGCTGTTTGATCTTTACCAGATACAAGCAATTCCAACCTCTATGTCAAGACACATGCCATTCCAGTGCAACTCTCAAAGGAAAAATTGTAATTTAACTACAATGTATTGCTACACTGCAGAAATGTATTTACAAACATGTCTTTTCTCTGAGGTAGTTTCCTCTCAGAAATCAATTTCAGTCCCAATCCCAGAATAAAAGGTGTAATTTAAAAGACACGCTTTACGTACCCCAAGTCATGCTTATGAAAGACGTACAGCAATCCCACCATTCTCGTTTGATTTTTTAAGTCGGATATGATATTGGGTTATAGCAAAAAGTAGAAAGAAATGCTCATTGGCCTTACTAAAGGGGAGGGGGGGGGGGTTGGGGATAGCTTAAGAAAGAAAACAGTCAAGGGAAAAAATTCAGATTTCCAAGTTCAATTTTTGAAAAATTATGAATTGAAGGTATACTAGTACACCCATGGGTCAATTATCTTTTGTTCCTGCTACAGGTACTACTTTTCAAGTATATGGATAAGTTCTTTTCGTCATATGCTTTTTTCATGTCTTAATAAGAAAATTGTACTATTTATAAACTTCATAGATTCTAGAACTATTAAGTTGGCATGATGTCTAATTTCAAGGAAAACATCTCATCTTTAAGTTTCTGCTCACTTCACATCACGATGTTGTTATTAAAAGAATCATCGTGGGCTAAAATGTTATTATTGTCATCTTCAACTGTGCAAAATGTTTCAAGAAAATGACTCAGCCAGCCATCATATCCAACCATGTTAAAATACATCATCTTAATTCAAGATGTTGCCAGTCAGAACTGAACAATTTCACCAAAACCATCAAAAGACGGCAATGCTAAGGTTGAAGACACACAATGTACTGCACTTGTGCAGAAAATTACTATAATGTTTATCTTTCGCAGGCATGAGCACAAAACCATTCCAAAATGACTAAATAGTCCTGGGTGCATCTTCAACCTAAGTTCAGCGTGCTTCTCCATATCATTGTACATAATCTGAAGTGATTCACTCCAGACAAAAATCAATAGACTTAATGTGTGAAATTCCCAACAGGATGGATGACTAAAACTCTACTGATGATGGGCATCTTTGAGCTTTCTCTGTTGGCTATCTCACTCTACAGGGATACACTGCACTGGAGTTTTATTGTTTCATTATATTTAATTACCCTGTAGGATTAGAATTTATTGAATGGAATTGACTGAAATATACTCCTGTAATACATTTCTTTAGCACCATATCTCTCTCTCTTCCCCTCCCTCCCTACCTCTCTCTTTCTCTTTCTCTCTCTCTCTCTCTCTCTCTCTCGCAAACGTGCACCAACCACAACACAGCACATAAATACATGTGTCACTGGACATGTGTGGTTTCCTTTAATTCAACTTAAAACAAGGACAAACACCATTATGCTTTAAGCATTTAAAATTATAATAAAAAACAGCCCTTTTTTTGAGGACATCTGGATTAATAATATAACTTCTTATCAAAAAAATAAATAAATTCATAAATACACAACTTGTGGATCATCATGGAAAGAACAGAGACACATCTTAGTTTTTTTTTTTCAACATGAAAGTGACTCGGAAAAAAAACTGGCAATGAATTTATGTCAATCATTCACACCTGCGTGGATCTGTATCTCTCCATCAAAGAGCACCTTGCCTTTATTGTTTCAAACTCTACAGATGGCACAGTGATCCAAGCAGGCAGAAAATGAATTCACTTTTCTTGCCTCAATTCCACCGGGAAGTGAATATATGCTATCTTCCCGAGAGTTCGAATGTTGGACAAAGATGATCATTTCCGGGTTTGGTAATATCAGGAAAAAAATTAATTAATTTTATATGGTATATTTTGCACCATTATATGCTCTGGGAATGTAGCTGGTGCTTTTTTGAAATTGTAGTAGATGCAATAACCACAGGAAAAGAAGATCCTGTTCACATTCAATGTAAGGTGTGTTTATAGTTGAGATAGGTAGACCTTCTCATTATGCCATCCAATATTATTATCTTGCACTAATCAGCCAAAGGCAATGTTTTAACTAACTTTTTTTACCCAAACCACAAAAACTATAAGCAGGACACCATAGGGATTAGATTGGTTGTTTGAAGAGCTAAATACAATCAGCTCTGATGAAATAAGTTAGATTGGTCCATCTTCAATAGAAACTGTACACTCTGTATAATCTAAACAACTATCAATTTCTAACATGTATGTTTTCCACTCATTTCACACATCAAATAAGCCTCCCATCTCAGCATCATTTTATGCCCATCCCCCCCCCCCAAAAAAAAATATGGAATTTTACTAATAAAATGACTACTGTTCCACTAAATTTAAACAAGAAAAGAAGCAGCACTATGTAGAAAATCAACTCCCACAAAAAAGGGTTAGAGAGAGCAAGAGAGAGAGAGAGAGATTCAAAAGTCTGCACACACCACCCTGCATACAGAAGTACTGCACTGTGTGCCCTTAAAAACTGTCCTTTATATACCAGACAACACACACACAGCATAATCCTATTAAGGGGAAGAATCTAATAAAATCCCTATTGCTTCTAATATCTTGTTGCTGTCTGGTACGACACAGGAAGTCAGGACACTGGATTTCAGGAAAATGAAAAATCAATACAAATCTTCTTACGGGAACTGTCTTCTCTGAACTTCTAAAATTTCAATTTTCTTCATCAAAACATTGTCTTGAGAAACTAGAAGCTAATGGCGGATGTTTATGAAAAATTGTGCTACTTATAATGTGGTGTAATCAGAATTTGATTAACCATTTTTTTTTTTTCACTGATGTCATATTACATATTGCCTCCACCTTCACCTTTTGATCCACAGTTCCATAAGCTTTACAATTTTTGCTTAGTTCTCATAGAAAATATTGCTGTTTTGAGAACATTTCAGTCATTTATAGACCGCAAAATCTTCTACAAGGGCAGTTGTGTAAAACAGATTGAGCAAGAGAACATGTCTGTGCTTCAATCCTCTGTAGTTTTCAGGTGTTCTTGTCCAAACAAACATAGTTCTTCATCAGCTCTGTCATGAAAAGTATTCTCAATCTCTAGCAGGGCTACTCCTGGAGAATTAATGCCAAATATAAATGCAATCCGAGGTTAAAAATTTTTTGGAGAATCAAGACAGTCGGACAGGTTGACAGCAGTGCCATCTACAGTGCATTCACCCATGGCATACTTACCCAGGAGACAACTCTGCCATTGAAACATGGAAGGTGCGCACTTTCATCTATGATTTCTTCTTTGACCACCCTGAAAGATAACAAATTTGAGAAAAATTCAAATGTGAAGTATATTTAAGCTTTTCTATTTTTACTGTCAATCTGCAAACATAAATCCTCAAAGCAAGCTGTAACTTCACTGATAATCATTCCGAAAATTCAAAAGTGTATAAGTTCTCTTCAATACTCACAAGTACACCCCCCCCCAACACACATGTTATACAAGTATGCAAGCATGCAAGTAAAATTACACACACAAACACACACACACACACACACACACACACACACACACACACACACACACACACACACACACACTGAAACATTCCACAAGAAGAAAACTAATTACTAGAATGATGTCTTTTACTTATAATCAGGCTACACACACCACACATGATACACATCTATACCAAGGCAAAAATGATTCTAATACAAATTTTTCAACAGTAGTTTTAGGGTGTGTGAGGCATGTGAGAGGCGGAGAAACCATTACAGGATTAAGCAGTCTTCCTTTCATGTAGGGTCTGCCATATTTGAGCTTTGCACCAGTTGATACTGGAATCTTCTATTCTGAATGGCCGCTAACAGTGCCATGAAATTCATGGTAGCTATGTAAACACCTATCTATCACTGCTTTGAAATTCCAAGTACCCACATAAGACAAGTCATAAGGCGCCAGTTTGTTGATGTGTAGGCCAGTTCAAGTATCAGTCTACAACAGTATTTGATCAAGACGAAGGTGTTTTAAGTAATGAAAACATGAGTACACCTGTTTTTGTAGCTGAGCAACTGGGACTCAAACTGAATAAAAACACTGATAACATGAAGATACTATTACTAAAACAATGTTATCTTCTGGTGGACTAGGTATCTTTTTTTTTCATACGTAAACACCTCCAGCCCTTTCTTCAAACTAGTAAACATCTTTAGTATAAAATCATTAGAAGACTGTGGATGACTGAATAGTAAGAAACATTTTACATTTAAAACTTGCCTCAGTTTGTCTTGCTTAAAATGCCACCTACAGGAGACCAGAACTCCCATTCTGTCATCCTTCCTATATCCACCTTTACTGATCACTTAGCCCATCACATGTAACTGCTGGTCATATTATACTGACCGCTGGTCATTGCAGTTGGTAACCAAAGTTTGAGGCATGCCAAAAGGGTAGCAGATGTTGACATTTGCTTTTTCATTCCAAAAAATCATAAGTGGAAAATCCAATGACCTTTTGAAGACTACTTGTGGGCAAGTGTTAAAGCACGAGAAGAAATCTTTCCCATTTATCTTAGCATTGCTTTTGTATTTTGTTCTTCTTTTACCAATTAATTTTTTAATATAATATTATTTATTCATTAACTTCAATCAGCATAATGACAGTCATCAGTTTGATTCACAGGACATGTCTGATACTGATAGCGGTGCTTTGCCACAACTGGTCACCACTGATCAGATAATTACCTTGACCAGCTGACCAATACTAAACATAAACAGATTGGACATACTACCTCACTGAATGACAGATGGCCCAATACCCCATTCTGCCATTCCAAATATGTCGCACAGCGGCACTATTTAATGGACCATCTTTCCTTTCCTTTACAATATGCTAGACATACTTTTAAATCATTATTGTATCTTTGCAAGTGCCCATCATTCTTTTTTTTTTAATTTAATGATGGAAAGGTATGTGGTAGACTGATAACATGTGTGACAATGCTAGAAAATGACCGTCAAAAATGTCACAGCCGTCAAATTGGCTTTTCCTCTCTGCCCTTGGAAATAATTTTGGAGGGACAGAGACACAAAAGTCATGGAATTCAAAACTCATATTTGGTGAAAATTATGAAGCAATTTTTCTAAGAGAATACCTTTTCCAGAGTATGCCTAATCTATGCGTCAATCTCTGGGTCTGACAGATGACTTTTACAAGATACGTTAACTGGCTTCACCTGGGAGATTGAGGGGCTGTTTGTGTAAGACAACATAGCAACAACTTCACATGTGATACGGATGGGTGCAGCCCATTAGCAGGTAGGCATATATGGACATGGAGGATGGGGGGGGGGGGGGTTTGAGGAGGGGGTGTTGAAAAGGGGGTGTTGTTCAAGTTCATATATGTATATTATATCACACAAGAATTTGTAAAAAATGAAATATGTCGCTGGCATCAAGAGTGAAATAAGAAAATGTTACAAATCATGCTCAGTTTTTTATCTATCTTGTGGGACAAAGACACAGATATGCCGCTCTCTTTAACAGATTATAACTTGTCAGCCATACTGGATTGATAAAAGTCTCTCCAACTTATACAGCATTTAAGTTTACCAATTTCATTGGAATGCATTGCTATGGTGACACAATAAATGGCTGTGACAGGTGTAAATTTGGTGGGCCTGTGAACACATAAACATAGAGCAACCTGGGTGAGAGAAAGACTGATGTCACATAAAAGAGATTTTCTCAGGTTGGTCAACACTTCATTGGTGCACTTCAAGATAAAGTTGCATGCTGGATTATGGCCCACTGAGACCTAGATATGCAAAATGTGCTGTCCAGATCTGATTCAGTAAGAAGAATCGTTCTGCAGTGGTAGCAGATAACTCAAAGGCAGGTGCCCGATATCTCCGGTTGCAACTCGAACAAAGTCACAAATATCGCAGCATCTTCAAATACAAATTTAGTTATATCACAGATACATACAACATGACAGAGATACTGCGAATACAGCTAAGCATTCATAATGCCCTGGGTGGCTCGAGCACACAACAGAGAACAGAATATAACAAATATATATACCCACCCAAAATCGTCATCCATGGATTTGAAAAAGAATTTGTAATTGGGTCGGTTTAAGGCATTTTTGAAGTCTCCCAGTGTCACTTTATCTGCCGGAATTGAAAGTTTGATCAGATATGGAGTATCTTCATCATCAATATGGTATATGATCTTCGTCTCCTCCATGTTGGAGGCTTGGTCGATCGCCTAAAATCTATGAATTTTCAATGATCCCTGGTGAAAATGGCGTCCCGAAGTATCAAACATGGAGGAACGAGAACCGTCAGTTTTATGGGAGCTGGGTTGAGATCACTTCCGGTTGTGCTTTTTTCCCAGTTCTTATCGTTTTTTATTAATCTAAGGATAATATAACAGAGAGAAACATACTACAGGTAAATTGAACTGTTTATTATAATAATTTACTTTGCATAAGGAATAAGTCTTTTACATCGACCGACACACCTTCGGGTACAAAGAAATGGATCAATTTCAGAAAGCTGTTCCTTGTATCACGTTTTCTCCCGTGACGATCTCCCAATAATAATAAGAAAAGAATCTGTTATTTATGTTTTACTGTAGGAATATTGTATAATACGCGTGAGTTGTTTTTGTTTAGACTTTATTATATATTGGATTCAATTTCCGATGTTTCATAAATTATTTCAGAGTGATTGTACCGCAAAGCTCATCTACTGCAGTTGGTTGCAAATTACCAGACTGCCAAGCGACAACAAGATGTTCACAGATGAGCAATGACTGTCTGTGGATAAACATTGGATATAAAAATACACAACCTCATAAGTATTTCATCATTTAGATTTTTACGTGCCACATGGTTTCTTTCTTGTATTTTAAATAGAAATTTACACATTTAAAGTTGTTGAGCTTTTTTGCCTAATGATGCAAAGGAACGTATTTACTGCGGGATCATTCCACCATGAACTCTGTCCAAAATGGATGTTTGAGAAAACACTCGTACAAACTAGCGAACTGTGATCAATTTTTTCACCTACCATGATCGAATCGACTTACAGGTACAGTAAAAAAAGTTTTGTTATTTATTCTGTATAGTGCCTTTTATTTAGCTACTCATGATATAGATTATTAACAGGATGAAACAGCTTGGAAGTTGGAGCATCGACTCGGTTGATGTAAGTTGATCAACTTGGTGTCATTTTAGATCTGACAGCCCATCCCGCTTGATAAACACACCTGCTTGTTAGAGAGAGTTTTTTATATCGTATTGGCGTGACTAGGATATATATCTGACCCAGACTCTGGGACATATATGCTAAATGTTTGAAAAGTTAATTACTCACAAAATATGACTGGCTGGAAACGACAGTGATCTGTTTTCCAAACATCGTCAAATTTATTGCCAGACTCGGACGTTATGATAACAAATTTATGTAATGATGCCTCAGATCGAACATTTTTCTGTTTTGGCTGTATGCCAATTAAGTTGATAATTCTTGCAAATGTGTTGTGTCTTTAACACTTGATATTTGCTGGGAGTAACTGTGGTATATGTCTTTGTTTTCTTCCTGAATGTGACCATAAAATATGGGACAGGCGTTGGGTGTAGTTTTGGCCAAATGGCTTTTGGTGAGCTGAGTTAAATTAGGCAGTGATTTCTTTCTTTCTTTCAGCATTCTATGTTCCCATTCTGTATCTTGATTGTGATTCCCCAGGTCATTGCTTTTATAATGCAAGTAAGCTGTGTCTTGTGGTATCATTTAGAGGTAATGCATTTCAGATTTCATTTGTGCAAAAAAAAAAAAAAAAAAAAAAAAAAAAAAGTGCTAGATATTTCCATTGTGCTAGATCCTTCCATTAATGCAAACATCATTCAAGTAGTACCCTGTGTTTCAGTTGTCTACATGTTAACTGTCATGTTTGCAACCATCTCTCTCAAGTTTTGGCATCCAAGGACATTGAAAATTCAATAGGCTTAGTCAGAATGAGATGAAGCATTTTACTGATGAAGTTGAGAACAACTGAAGGTTACATGGGTATTTAGGAAAACAAGATTGTCTTCAGCTGGAATGAAACTTAGGGTATAAAAAATGAACATGAAAA